ACTCCCAATGTTGATACGCAACATATGATTTTTTCCTCTGTTTACCTCCCTTCCCTAGAGATCAAATCTTATATAAGATTCCTATAGGAATCTTACAGAATATCTGCAAGAATCTTATAAGAATCTTATAAGGCAGTCGATGGAAATGCGAGCAGACATCTCTGGGAATCTGAAAATGTCATCGACTACAGGTAATCGACTACGCCGAGCATAGCAGCAACATTTGCTTTTGTGTAGAAATGAATATAACTTCGCCAGAAGCATTGTTGTGAAAAACCGGTTTTTCGCCTGTCACTAGCAAAAATTAAAATCCTTATATCTCGATCAAATCTCACGCTGACTCAAGGAAATTTTCAGGAAAGGCCTAAAAGGTGCCATATGTTGTTGACCACGCCGAAAAAGCGATCTAGGAGAACACTGATGCTCTGAGGTTTTTCAGAAGGTTTCTGGAAAACCTTAAGCCAATGCCCAGCTCACATTCACCTTTTTTGCCTTCGATTATGTTTTATGAGCTCTCCAGCGTTTTCTGAAAGCGTTTCCTTGAGTCAGCATGAGATTTGATCGAGATATAAGGATTTTAATTTTTGCTGGTAACAGGCGAAAAACCGGTTTTTCACAACAATGCTTCTGGCGAAGTTATATTCATTTCTACACAAAAACAAATATTGCTGCTATGCTCGGCGTGGTCGATTACCCGTAGTCGATGACATTTTCAGGTTCCCAGAGATGTCTGCTCGGGGAAAGCGAGCCCTGCCAGAACGACGACAGCTAGAGAGCCGCGACTTGCATAATTTTGTAACATCCGAACTATCTACGCATGCAAAAAATTACTAAGTTCTGCTCAAGTCTAGGCTATTGAACAGCGAAAATCGCAGGCCTCTATCTCATTCTTATCAAAAGTTATTCAAAAAATGGCCACGGGTCTTGTATTTTGGGATAGATAGTAGAACATGTCAAAGTTACCTAGAATTTTAGTTTATCATAAAATTTCTCTCTTTTTAGCAATTAAATGCCAGTTTTCGCATATGATAAAGATGACAGTATGATTAACAACTTTTAAACTCATAGTAGTATTAAAATCGATTTTGGGAAGTCTGTACAGATGCTTCTTTGAAATCTCCATGAATTTCGACGGATTGACTCTTTCTACCCAAAAGACAAAAATTTTATAAATGACACGTTTTATGTGGCCTAATTAGCTTAATGACAGTAACAGATGTGAAGATCGAAATCATATGGCTCGATAGAGGAAAAGTAGAGCTTCACAATGATATAATGTTTAATTAATTAGCATTCATCGTTAATGAGCTACGATGCTTTTAGAAAGTCTCCATGTGTTTGAATTGATTGAATCTTTTTACCGCATCCAAATAAGTGGGGCTGACTTTTTTTATCCCGTGTGAGGTAAAAACAGTCAATCAAAACCACTCAACTCCGATTTTAATATATCTGAAAAACCAACATGAATTTTCAGGAAAGTTTTGCACTGGTACATGCATACTTATCGTCTCTGCTAACGTGATTAATATCGAATTTGTTCAGTTAAACATGGATGAGAAATAGTGGAATTACGAAGAAAATTTCGTGCACTGACTCTGTTTACCCCACAGTACTCTACAATATATTCCAAATGACTTGTTAATTGAATCAATGGAATAGGTTGTAAAAAGAGTATTTTGTCGAAAAATACTATTATTGTAGCGAACGAATGATTTTCTACATTTCAAAGTTATTTTAATCTCACAACAGAAATATACGAACAATAAATCGAGAACACTTTATCATTTAGTGATATGATTCAGTTTTTAGTACATAATTGTTATTTTATATTTGGACAAATTATTGTTCGTCAAGTAATTAGAATACCAACTGATCCTGGGCCACTTTTAGCGAATCTGTTTTTATTTAAATCAGAGTTCAGAAAAGAATTCACAAGATAGCTACCGATATTTCTGAACAACAGGTTGTTCGAATAAAACAAATTAGATGATGAACAATTATTTATTTCCATAAGGTGAGCAGAGCACTTCCTTCAAGTGGAGATGCAACGCGAAGAAAATGCACCTTCTTCGAGATTTCTCACACCTCACTTACTTAGAGCAACAAGTACAATGTGCGGCACAATAAACTAAGATAGAATAAGGTGAGAATAAAGATTCTTCGAGAATTCGCAATACTAGATATTTATTTTATGAGTTAAGATCCGCAATAACGTAACGAATGTAAGCAACAATTCAATATGTTTTGATCTCAAAGCTTCGTTAACTAAACTGTACAGTTTTCTCATGTACAATTTAATTACATTGTCTGACACAATGTAGTAGCACTGGAATTAACTTGACTTGCTCTTTGCTTGTGCCTTTATATTTTTTGATGATTTTTTAGTTTTAATTCCAAAATATTCAAATGTTTGTCTGAAAGAAAGAAAGAAAAGGAATTTTGTGTAACTCCTACCCCTGAATCCCTCTGAAAGAGGAAGAACAACGAGTGAAAGTTCGTTTGTAAAGGCAGAAACTGCTAGAGATCTGAATATTTTATCCACTCGATATCCTCTCTCCTTAACGCTTGTGGACGTACGCGAACCCACGGACAGTACTGAATATACATTGTGTAGGCGGACAAGCTTCTAATTAAGCCAGCTTTGAAAGAGCATCAAAAACTGAGCCAAATAACTATAGTCTGGAAGTTAAGTGAACGAGTCTGACACATCTTTTAATGATTTGGATCATAGGGCCATTTTTGAAAAATCTTTTCTGCACGGGGGTAAAAATTTTTTGGATACCTTTACGTTATCATGTAGTCAAGTAACTACTGTATAGGAATATGAAAAGAGAAACTTATACTTTTTAAGTTGAGAAGGAAAAACGGATTTCTGAACAAACCGGCTTTTCAACCATCAAAAACATTTTCCGTCAAAAACTAACCTCATATTTCGTGCAACTTTTTCATATATTAAATATGTATCACTAGTACCTTTAGTAAACTGAACCGATGTTAAAAGGAAAATAATACTTAGAAGTTGAAGCATTGTACAATAAGTTAAAGTGAATAAAAACTTTATTTATCACAGTTTTCGAAAAGTTATGTATACTTGAATATATAGCTGTTTGACAGGAAGTATTATATGTCGTCTTTTACCTATGTATTTATTGTGAGTCAAGTGATCAAGTCTTTTATTTTAAGACGCAATATTTCTATCAGTTATTTATCAGTATTTAACATAGTTATAAATATTTTCGACTTTATATTTAATTTCTAAAAATAACTGTTTAAATAGAGAGCTTTTAATCTTAACTCCATAACGAAAAAAGGTTTTGACAAGCGGTTTGCGCCAAAATATTCTCCGTTCTCTCTAGTATATGCGGAGATAAAAAAGTTAAAATATTCATTGTTGTTCTTTGTAGACCCATTCGATCGTAAAATGAACGTTTTCCGGTGACAAAAATTATTTGTACGGTTGACAATAATCTTTTTTTACGCTGTCTAAGCGCCGACAAAATATGAAAACTACATCAATGGATAGAAGAGAGCGCGTGCTACATTTTGGTAAAAAAGTAATTTTGAAAAGCTTTTTTCTTCAAAAAATATTTTCACTTAAAACGAATATTGAAGTACGAATATTGAAGATTTCTGTCCATAATTTCACATAGAAAAAAGACAAATCTTCCCTCGCTCTATTTAAGGGGGGGGGGCGGTCTCCCCACCCATTTTTTTCCAGCAGTTTGTGCAGGACACTTCGGAGTATATGTCCCAACAAAGCTTTTGGTTCCCGGATTTATAGTTTTTGATAAAAAAAATTTTAATTTTTTTTCGGGTTTTTTATCCGCAAGCATTTCGAAGCAAAACTCTGAGTGCAGAAGTTGTTCAGAATCGAGTTTTGGAGTCCCTGACGAGAGCTTTTTTTTAAATCTTTTGGTTTTGATTTTTAAATTAAAAAGTACGAAATTTTCGAATTTTCAAAACCGTAAAGATTAATTTAAAAGTCAGAAACAAACTTTTCAGAAAAGGTTGTCAGGGACTACAAACTTCGATTCTGAACAACTTTTACACTCAGAGTTTTGCTCCAAAATGCTTGGTTCGGACGAAACTAGCCGTAAGGTTAGGTAAAAAATCTTCGATGAGCCAAAAACCAGCGATATTTTCAAGTTTTGAATTTTTTCTTCAAGCCTTCCCGGTTTGTAGAGGACACTTCGAAGTGTATATTCGGAAGTTTTTTCGGCTTACTGAAATTATTTGGCTGAGGAAAAAGTTAATTACTTAAACAATATTGTTAAATTTTCGACTTACCAGACTTACCGAGCGACCAAAAACGAATTCTAAAATATTTAAGGTATATAGTCTGTGTTGTAGCCCGTGAAATTCTCTGTCAAATGAGGTATTGCTTGAATTTTTTCGTTGCGTTGCTGTTTTACAAATAAGACTTTATACTAGTAGAGTAGGCTAAATTAATGTTAATTAGTACTAATTAGCCAATACCAGGAAGGAGAGAACAAAAATTCTTGCATATTTTCTCTTAATAAATAGTCTCCACACATTTCTCTATCGATCTAGGCAAGAACCAAGCTTTTGTGATGAATGGAGGATGGACAAGAATTTTTTTAATAATAATCCCTTGTTCAAAAATTTAACAATATTTTTTTAAGTAATTAATTTGTTTCTCAGCCAAATAATGCCAGTAAGCCGAAAAAGTTTCTGGACATATACTTCGAAGTGTCCTCTACAAACTGGGAACGTTAGAGAAAAATCTAAATGGGGGACTCCCCCTCTTAAACAGTTATTTTTAGAAATTAAATATAAAGTCGAAAATATTTATAACTATGTTAAATACTGATAAAAATATTGCGTCTTAAAATAAAAGACTTGATCACTTGACTCACAATAAATACATAGGTAAAAGACGACATATAATACTTCCTGTCAAACAGCTATATATTCAAGTATACATAACTTTTCGAAAACTGTGATAAATAAAGTTTTTATTCACTTTAACTTATTGTACAATGCTTCAACTTCTAAGTATTATTTTCCTTTTAACATCGGTTCAGTTTACTAAAGGTACTAGTGATACATATTTAATATATGAAAAAGTTGGACAATATCTACGTAATTATGAAATGAAAACTAAACAAGCAATAGATCATAATTCAATTTATGGGCTAGAAAATTCAAATAAAATCGGAATGGGTTATAATCCGGTGTATGGAAGTCCAGTCTGTTACACTGGTGTATGTCAAATGGAAGGCTTCGCTCAGCCAATATTCAAACTACAATACCAATCTTCAGCACCCGGTTCATGTACAAATAAATTAGTACCAAATTTTGTAGCAGCGGACTGTCTACCATCATTTGTAACAAGCGCTAGTACCGAAGTTATTAATACATTAAAACAACTATCTGAAAGTATTTCAAATAAAATCGAAGTCTCAATTGGTGCCAAATATGGACAATTTTCATTTGGTTACACAAATTCAAGGGAGACAAATTATATGGTAGATAATATTGTTCAAAATAATTTGACTTTAATGTATACAACAGCACAAGTTTCACATATTAAATTATCTATGTTCGAACCTCTATCCGATATATTTAATCATGTTATCGATAATTTACCATGTTGTGATAGCAATGATTATGATACAGAAAAATATATTCGTGACTATATTTTTAGCTATTTTGGTTATACATACGTTTCAACATTATTATTAGGCGGTATAGTACAACAAAATATATTTATGAATCATGATTCATATAAACGACTTGAATCAAGAAATATTTCAACAAAAAATGCAGCTAAGGTTGAATTTAATATATTATCATCAGGTGTTTCAGTTGAAAATTCACAAGCAAAAACTGAACATCAAGAATTTATGAAGGAAGTTAAGAATAGTTATGGTACAATATTAGGTGGAGATCCGTCAATACAAGATATTAATGAATGGTCAAAAACTGTACCATCAAATCCTGTTATTATTAAATTTGGTATACGTGAAATATTTGATTTATTGAATAAACGTCGTTTTCCCAATGATCCTCAAATACAAAATAAATCAAAATTAATTGAAGAAGTATTGACTAAATATATTGCACAGCCATTATTTTGTTATAATAATTGTGTAGATAAATCACATGGTACTTGTGAATCGTCCGGTTATTTTCAATTTGGTATATGTAAATGTAATCAAAACTGGACAGGTATTGACTGCTCGAAAAATATTTCATCTATAAAACCTCAAATAGTCTATGGAGATGTTCTTAGTGGTACATTGTGTGGATATGATCGTTCTTATATACGTTATTACTGTATGGGTATGCGACCATGGGAAGGCTGTCCTCAGGGCTGGGGAGAAAAACATGGGCTGGTGCTGATTTTACCGTTTGTTATAAAGCTACGACAACGAAAAATAGCTCAAGTATTGTTGGTGGCCTATGCGGTCTAAATAATTCTGGAGGAAAGCAATCAGCGAGTATTCCTTGCAATAATTCAATAGCTGGTACGTGTCCTAATTATATACAGTCAGGGTATTCGTTAGCGAGGTCGTCATTGACTGTCAATGGAGTTTTAAAATATCCAACTGGGTTTTGTTATAAATCAAATTCAGCATATCCGGATTTACCTGGCACGTTATGTGGAATACAATGGGCACAATCAGTAGACGGACCAGCATGTGGTGGCTATAATCCTGGCTTATCACAATGTCCGCCGGGTTATTCTGTACAGCTCTGGGTTCTAGAATATGGCACTCGTTTCCATTTATGCGCAAAACGATGAACTTTTCCTTGTAAAGTACGTCAATTTTTCAGTTTTTTTTTAGTGTCGTATACAGATGCTTTATACCGTTACCCGAATACTTCGGCTTATAATATACAATTTTGTTTATATGGATTTCTTGACTGATGTGCATTCTTCTACGAAAGCGTAGGTCTTTCTTGACATTGATATCACAATGATAAAATTGCTGCGAATAATAATACAAAATGTTCGCCAGCACAATTTAAACTACTCAACTTTCTGCCTACAGACATTTGTGACCGTAGATCGACATAATCAACTTTAGTAGAGCAACTTCAGCCAAAATTCAGTCCAGCAGTTGAGAGTTACATGTGTAACATAGTTATCGATCAATATTTCTATTGCAATGCTTCAGTGCTCAAAGTTACTACTGCATATATAACTGATAAGATATAATATAATTTTACATCGCTGGATGTGGCAATAGCCATTTCGATAAAATTTACAAGCAAAGAAGCATCAAGAAAAGGACACAAATATAAAGATAAAGTAAGAGATGTGATACTATGACAAAGAAACAGTACGCAGCAAAGCAAAAAGGAACTGAGAGAAGCGTTAGTTCTGAAAGGAAGACATTTCTAACAGTTTACAGCAATACCAGTGAAAATGAATCATATGGAGAATGATTTTGATTTATTATAACTGAATTTACACAGGTAACTGAATTTTTCCAATAGAACGAATAACACATCATTCTGTCCAAGCGTCGGCATCGTTCGATACATCTGTTCACGCAGTGTACAGTGTGTGAAACTAAATCTTTTACGAAGTCATTATCACCGGATCGGAGCAAGCTAAAACTAGTTCTTTATCGTTGTGATAATCCTGAGTATGAGCTCCCTTTTTGTT